TTCGTATTTTTTTTTTTTTTTATTTCAGTAATTTGAGATAAATATATTCAATTTGACCTTGATCTCGGTTGGAACGTTCCCAAAAGTGAAAGAGAATTCTTATCAAAACAGCCGGAAGTGTTCRGGTTCTCACAAGCAAGTCGATATCGACTTCCCAGWACTACAGGATACGCCGGAATCGCTGAGTAGTAACAGAGATTTGCATTGGCTGGAGCTTTTKTCAGGACTACATCTCTATAAGAAAGATATAAATACCCTGATATTAAAGAAAACGATGGCTGGATACGATCGACAACCAGACGAATACGATCCCATAACAGATGACTACTTGCCAGTCCTCAAGCTGCTGCAAATAGGAGGTGGTTTGGGGCGTCTTGCTTTGGAGTCAGCTCAAGCTAGTCTTTTCACGTCTATTGCTTCGAATGAAGCAGTAGTATTTGCCGAAGGAGGCCTTGAAATCCCAGAAGAAAAGCAAACATTGCGAATCATTGCCAAGACATACATGAAAMAAGGCAAATGCTACATTGGATTTGATGGTGGTAGTGGAAAACTTTGGAGACCGATTTCAAAGACTAAAGAAGGTTTATGTTGTTGGCCAAACGCAAGCGAATTTGATGTGGGATCGAAGTACGAATTCAAGATTATTGAACGGCAGCCTTCAGAAATTCCCTACCCSCATCGCTGGAACGATGTCCTTGTTTCAAACAAAGTCACTCCCAAGGGGGTCCCCWCAAGGGATCTATTTGACGACCTAGCGCAATCCAGTTTTGACACAGTTAAGGGAGTTTTTCATCCAGGAAAAATCAAATACTTCAAGTTCATCGTCGAAAATGAAATCTGCCCATCTACAGGCATCTATAAATGTAAAGGTAGTCARCTAAACGTACATTCCACTCCAAATCAGTTTGGTAATATGAGAGAAAGATTGAAAATTGATGATGGAATCATGTATGATTTCCCCATTACAGCGTTGCAATACAAGAAGTCTTTTATAGACAGTGAGGACGTTCTGGTTGTCCTGGGTCTTGGAAGACCGTTTGACGGAAATGGGAAGTTTGAACCAAGATGTTATATTCTCGTTGTTGGAATCATATAATTTTAACACAAGAATAATTCCCATCAAAGAACTGCTCGTCGGGGAAAGAGGAGTTTCTCTAATCTTTTTTGTTTCTGCTATACTTATAACTTCATTGGCATAATTTGTATTATGTCATGTTTAATTGAACTTCATGTACCGTGTACATGTCATAATGTACGTCTTCTATAGCCTGCCTGTCTACTAGCTACTCGTCAGTRACCCAMACAGATCACACCAAAGAACTATATACCAAAAAAGGTTGGCTTSCAATTGTAGCATAATTTTCATAAGMCTRTGAAACAATTAATAAGGATCAAAGACAGAATGACGAAAACAATCCASTATGAAAGTGGAGAGAAAGGAGAGCTTCATYCAAAGTATGTTAATACAAATSACAGATTTTTGATCTTTTCCTTCACATTTTCCATTTTTCCTTTCAGTTTTCTATACAAACGAGTCTAAAGATAATCATATTTCAATATTAAGTTTTTTTATGGTTCTCGGATCTACGAGAATCTATCAACTTAGAGCGAAGTCAAAAACGAAACATGACATAGATTTTACACTAATATACACATACCATCAAACTAGTCATATGTTGTTTTTAATGATTTCACTCTAGTTCTAGTAATATTTCAAAGTCCGATGATAGTGAAAAATAAAGAGTGGAAAAGTGTAGCAAGTATAGTTCAAGAGTTTATCACAACCATACCGCAGATTAAAGCAACCAACCACAATACAGCGCRCGCTCGTGTTATTGTTTTCATGCGTCAATAAATTCTAGATTGATAGCACCTGTGAGGTACTACTTAGTTAAAGATATTTCTGTCCAAACTGAAAGGATGGAAGACGATTCGCGCTCACTTTAAGAAATCCTTCGAATCCGAAAATGGCGCTTCATCGCGCAAGGTACAACGGTTGGTTATGATTCTTAAGTTTTTGAGCTCAGACAAAACCATACAATACACTAGTATTCGAGTCTGTTTTATTAATAAAAATCGTTTTGATTATTTTCCATATAACTCTTGGTTGATTTTCAAAGACGACTTTGCAAAGCACTTAGATGCCTGTTGTACGAAAAGTTAAATACTTGAAAAAGATAAGAAATAAATATCAAAAGACATTTTATCAAATTATCCCGTACGAATGTAGAAAAAAACTAATCTAGAGACGAGCTGTTGCTGACTTTTTTCATATATATTCAAAATCGTCTTCATTCCAAGAGCTTTCTATACGATTTAAACATCAACTATTAACACAAAATGTACAATGATTAAGTGCGCATGGGATGCAGTCAAAAAGCGCGCAAAAAATAGCAGTAAATATTGCGCGCCCGCTAAAAACTCAACTTTCAATCTCGTGAATCACTGTCGTATTTCATGTTGACAGTGGCGGTAATTGCCTATTATTTTAAATCCAACTACATGCTGTAGTTTCTTGGATTTTTAGAGCGAAAAAGGCTGCTTTTTAATTTCCGAATTAAACACACGCCGTGGGGCGGGGGACAGGGAGCCCGCCACTAAGAACGGCTGCGAGGAGACTATAAACACACTAACTCAAGCCATTACTGGGTAAATTGAGAGCCACCATCTTGAACTGCAGGACCCCATTTGTTTGCATGCGAGGTTTTTACACAAACGAAAATCACTTAACATAAAAGTAAATTATCTTCACGTTTTAGACTTACTGAAGGGGTTTAAGCTTTGACTTTAACGTGAATTTTACACATCATGAACAGAGCTTGGTTCAAAAAAAGCCGAAACATAATCAAACGCATACGACATGAAAGACAACGCAGAAAACAACTTCGCCATTTTATCTTAGTTGGACGTTCTCAGGTTTTTAAATGAGCTAAAACGTCGCTAAAGGTTGAATTTGAATCAAGCCAGTTCATAAGGTATAAACTTCGACGTTCAAACCTAAACCTACAACACTTGCAATTGGATTCAAGCTTCGACATCTTAACAATGTTGGCTGTAACCTTTGTGAAGTGGTTGAGAGGCTACTGCTTGTCCTTGTTGCGTCTTCTTTCCAGTGCGCTCTTTGTGCAAAACCTTTCCCTACCCCACCCCGCTGCGGGTAAAATACTCTCAAATTTTAAACCCGTGTGGGAGAGGGAGAGGGCTATGCACGGGCTACGATGTATACGAAACAGAGAGTTTTAAATTTATCTCAGCAGCAACTAACTTAATTTAGCTATACTTTGGGGAAGATTTTGTCAAATATTCTGCTGATTTTATCTCATCTTTCGTTTTCAACTTAAGTCTTATTACTGATGAGGCAAATCTAAAACTCTCGCTTAACTAAGACAAACTAAAAACTTCGATAACATATATAAAAAAGATTTCAAATCACTCAGCTCTTGAGGCTGAATATTCATGGTGATTGCATGGATATTACAACTGTACACTTTATGAAAACCACATACATCGACTTCATTGGTCAATAAATATTCTCTTTGTTGATTGGCTTACTGTTGGGGTTAACTGAATCTTGGGATTTTAGAGCTGGGCGCTTCTGTAGAGACAAAGAACAACGAAAAAAAAAGCATTACAGGACGCTCAAAATACGGCAAGAATGATTAAGCAAATTATAGATAAATTAAGAAGGGTGAATGCCCGAAACGTTCAATGAATATAGTAGAAATCAAGTTGCAACTTGTGTGGCTTTTTCATCATTTTATACTAATTATAAATGAATAAATAAATATATGAATGGATGATAAATGTATTGAAAATTGAATGGATGAATGGACAAAGCTACCAAAAACATTTCAATGAAAAAAAAAATATCATTTAACAAACAAAACTTCGCTGACAAATTATTCATTTGCGTTTAATAATTGATGTCTGAGAAACCAATGAAATGCTAACACCTCAAAGGCGTATCAAGGAAGCCAATGAAATGTAAACAAGCCATTCAAATGCAGGTACATTACTTCAACAGACAAAAACAAAATTCTATAATATTCAATTCAGTGCATGAAATTGAAACAACTGAGACAATAATTCCGCGATATAGATTGTGAATGATAAAGGGTTATGTTTTGAAGCTGAATTTATTTACAGGATAAAAACAAATAAACGAGAAAACAAACACACAAAAATAAACAAAGAGCACTTCAAAAACAGCACGAAACACATAATAACAAAATACCTATACGAAAATTGTTTTATCTATTCATACACTAAATGAAAAGTATTCCTACCTTCCGACATCGAACTTGCATATTCTCCATTTCGCATCCGATTACCATACATCGCCTGTAGGTACTGTTGCTCTTGCTGCTGACGTAACATCATGTTGCCAGGGTAACGCATCATGTGCATACCGTCCCCACCAATCACAGTGCCTCGTGATGACGCCATTCTCTCTTGCTGACGTCGTTGTTCCATTAGGAATAGTTGCTCAGGAGTTGGGTAGCCTGGTTGCTCCCGATATTGCATCGCGTCCAAGTCGACGAACTGCCCATCTGGGGTCCTTTTACCAGCGAGCTGCAGAGCGCGTTCTCTCTCGACACTCACCATATCTTGTCCCTGGGCTCTATATGCTAGTGGGGACATTCCTTCAGGCCCCATTTTACCTGGGTACATTCCGTAGGGACTCATTTGTTTGGGTATTCCGTATCTCTGAGGGTCTCCCTGCCCTTGGAGATAGTTCCGGGTCATAAAATCCTTGTGCGCCTGGTTCATTCCACCAAGACCTCGTCCAATTGTTTGTGCTTCTGAAGTTGATGAATCAAGGGCCACTGCAACACCTTCTTTACCGGGACTATCTCGTTGTGGAGCTATTTCCTTCAATAGTGACGTAAAAGGTAATCTTTGGGCTCCCTGTGCAGCACCTGGCTCCGAAACGGGGTCCAAGTCTTTAGATGTTGGAGGCTTTCCGTTGAAAAGTTCATCTAGGAAACCTCTAGGACGACCACCAGCCAGACTAGGACTACCCTGTCTTGGAGGGCCTTGATCTGGTGGCCAGCTTTTGTAACCTGAAGGGGGACGTTCTGGAGGTGCTTGATTCGGCCCCTCGACTAACGGGGACGATCTGTTTGAATCACTCTTGCCTTTGTCTGCAGGACGTCTGAGATCGGATACCAAGGGGGGTGGGGAGCGTCTAGATGTTGTTATTACTGGGGCTCTGTTTTCTGGTCGTGGTGATGACGTTTCTCTAGAGGGTGAGCCTAATATATGACTGATGGACAGTCCAACGCCTTTGTTTTTTGATCCTTGCTCCATTTGGCTTCTAGGGACAACATTTGGCGGTGGCACAACATTTGGCGGCAGGACAACATTTGGGGGTGTAGGTGTCCCCTGGGGCCTAGCTTTGACCTGATTTGAAGGACCTTCAGGTTTGGGTAGTATAGTTGGGGTTGATGCGTCCTTTTGCAATGCTACAAATACACATTATGTTCATAATTACTACAGGATAACCAATATAATTTGAATATTGCTATCAATATAAGTCATCATAACGTTTTATTACCTGGATCAGTCGGTGGTTGGTCAGCAGTTTTACTTTGATCGGACACTGGAGGACCACCAGGGCCAGTTATTACATTGGTGTGCCTTTCTTGGGGCATTGATCCCATCCCTTGTGGTAAGCCCTGTGGATAAGGTGCCAAGGGACGTCCATAGTATGGTTGTTGAGGGAAGGGTTGTCCAAAGGACTGAGGACGAGACATCGGTACAGCTTGCTCTGATTCTCGTTTCTCTTTTTCAGCTGTGAGAGAAGGTGGTGTTGGTTCACCTAAACGATAAAATAATCATTGAAATCTTGAACTAGTTCTTGAACGGTTCTTTAAGAWAGGATGTCGGAAAACATGAAAATGATTTTTGTTTTTCAATTTTGGTCATACRCCACACAGGCAGCCCATCCTTTTAATTCTATAGACAGATGTCTTGTCTTTGGCAGTGAGGTCTTGTACCAATCAGGGTAAATATGTGAGTAATCTAGTCTATAATTTGAGAAAGYGCATACACACTAATCTATGTTAACATATTTTAGCATTTTTTAACACCTATTCTTACCAGATGTAGTTGCTGGTGYACTTCGTGGCACAGGTGATGCTACATTCTTTTCAAGTGACTTCTTCTCATCTCCACTGGCATCGCTTGCAGCAGGGGACGTCAATGCAGAGCCTGACCCTCCTGTGGATGAGGGTACTGATACTGTTGGAGCTCCTTGAGACTTAGGTGGTCCTTGAGAGCTGGGCATAAAACCAGGAGGTAGCTGAGCCCCTCGGCCCATCCCATAACCAGGTCCCATGCTTTGACCATATGGGCCCATTCTATTTTGGGCCATTTGATCCAGAGGTGCTCTYTGGAGTCTTGGGGGTCCATTCATGTTAGAGTAGCCTGGGAACTGTCCAGGTACTGGACCTGARTGATTAGGAGKCATTTGCATGGGGTATCCTCCAGGACGAGAGACCATCCCACTTGGTCGRAATTGGTTAGGTAGCTGAGGTTGCTGGGGCTGTGATGTGGGTGTTGGTTGTGAGGTTGGTGAAGAGGACTGAGTGGATGGCTGTTGTTGTGATGTTTCAGGCATCAATTGTGATGCTGCTTGATGTGGTGCCATTTGTGGTCTTGTCGGCATTCCTCCTAATAGCAAATGRTATCAATAATGATGAAGACTCGCTATAATATCATGTGTGGGTTACAGAGACCAGACACGGCAATGGTAATTATGATAATGACAATGTTGATGATGTGAATTGCAACTTGAAAGGCTAAATAAATCACTTAATAAAACAAAAACAAACAAAAATTTACCTGGTCCTTGTGCAACACCTGGTAGTCCCATCCTGGGTGGTCCCTGCATTCTAGACAATCCAGGGGGAGTCATGCCATTAGGAGATGGCCTTTGAAATGGCATTCTACCTTCCATTCCCTGTTGAGGAAATCGCATCCCTTGGGGATCCCCCATAGGAGCCCTTGTGAGGGGAGGGGGTTGGTATTGATATGGGCTAAATTGTCTCTGCTGTGGCATATTAAATCTAGCCATTGTAGCATTATAGTAGTTCTGATAAAATTGAGGTGGATATACAGGCCGGCCATCAGGACCAAAACCTGGGGGTACTCCAGGTGGGAATTGAAAATCTTGTGGATGACGTGAACCWGCCATCATTGGATTTGGAACTCTGTTCATTCCCATGTCACCCATGAATGGAAACGGCATGGATCCCATTCCCTGATTGGATTGTTGGTTCTCTTGTCTGTTCATCAGAAAGTCATTCATTGAGAATTCTCTTTTTTGCTTCCCTTTCATTTCTCTTTCCCGTTCTTTTCTTCTTCCCTTGCGAAGCTCTTCTTCATAATCTTCATCGCTGTTATCTTCATCATCTGGGAAGTGTTTTTTGACTTGACGTTCAAATGCAGCTTTAAGGGTGTTGGCCATCTTGGTATACACTTGGAGAAGATATGAAAGACAAACATTAATTCGATATTCTTCATTTTTACTATGCGTCATGGCAGCCATCTTSGASGAACTTCAAYRAAGRATTTCTCATTAGTATCTATTGCTTGTTCCCCCAACATGGCYGCCGSTCTTTCCTCTTTTGAATCTCATGAGAATGGGTGAAAACGAMCAATAAAAGTGTTATTAATACAAGAACAATGAAGAACTTACTGCTGTCTGGTCCATTGTATTCATCACAGTTATCAAACATCAACTGCATATCRTCTTGAAACTGTTCTAGTTTCTTGTATTCACCCTTGTCAAGCTTTTCCTCAATTGTAGACAGGTCCATTGGAGTCTAGATAATCAATCAACCAATAAACAAATGAATAAATTCATCAAACAACAAGAAAATCAATTAATCAGTCATTGATTCACTTAATCAGCCAAGCAATTAGTCAATTAATCTGACAAGCAACTAAATGTAATCAATCAATCCACCATACATTCTATCATGCAACCAACACATCTCAGGGCTTGAAATAAGGGGATTTCAATTTTGCTACATGTAAATGTCCTGTCTAATCAGAATTTTAAAGGACATAATTACCAGCATAATTACCAAAGTGTTTGGAACAACATTATGTCCTGTGTAGGTCCAGAATTTCAAGCCTTGCTATTCAACCAATAAACGAAGATCAATAAACCCTTCAATCAATCCATTCTCCATTATCAAACAATTAGTTAACCTTCCAACCAAAACCAATCAATCCATGATTCAATCAACCATTTTATAAAAACAAACAAATGRCCAGGAATGAATGAATGAATGAAAAAAACGTAAAAAAAGTCAATTCACTGACCTCAATGATTTCATGGTACTGTGGTGCATATGACTCGTCTACAGGCTCTAAAAATGGCCAAGCATTATTGTGTTTCTTGAGGTAATCTAATACTTTATACATCCCGGTGTACAAGTCTTCATCTCTGTCATCATCTCCATCAAATTCTGGCATTCTCTCCCGTCTAGAACCTGACTCCTCTTTTCTGTCCTCATTCCCATTTTCTGGCATTGCAGAATCTAGTGGGAATTCACCATTCATTCTCATCCACTGCCGTTCTTCACGTAGTCTTGCTCTTTCTGCCCTTTCTGTAATTTTTATGGAATGAACACGGATTTAGCATTATGGAAAGATAAATCAGCATTATCCATTGAACAGTTCTAATATTTTTGCCCTACAAAACCAGTGGCAGATTTAGGGGATGGGCCTGGGAGGGCTGGTGCCCCCACCTTTTTGGGATAAATTAGATTCTCGTATGTGTTCTTTTAAACAAATAAATCTTCTAAAATGAAAAATAACAAGTGAATTAGCTAGTTTCCTAATTAATTTGCTAATTTTAATGTGAAATTCCTATTCTAATAATAATAATAATAATAATAATAATAATAAGAAGAATATATTTAACGAGGAAGCCTTATCACCGAAGGTGATTCTCATAAGGGTCCTAGTCCTAATGGTCCTAATCCGTCATGCAAATTTTCTGCCAAACGTTCGCGCCATTTTAGTGCCCCCCTTAAAAAAATCCTGGACCCGCCCCTGAAAACAATAGTCTATAGAACACATATAAACAGTTGAGACTTTCATAGTATGTGTGCATTACAGTCATTACCTTGCTGTCTCCTTTCAGCGAGTCGTTCCTTTTCTTTCTGTTTTTCTTCTTCTTCTATTCTCTTTTCTTCAGCAAGACGTTCTCTTTCACTCTGTCTTTCATCGCTGTCTTCAAAGTCTTTGATWTCACTGTCTTCTTTTAAACTCATTTTGATTGCAATTCTTGTTGATGCTCTTCTCGGTGCTAATTCAAGTAATTTCTTTTGATATGCTCTGTCCTGTAAAGACAATGACAAATTGCCATCTTTAGATAAATAAATCTATATAAACACGACAGTATTGAGTATCAATAATCACCATACAAATAAAGGTTTAGAATCAATCATTTTTAGACATTTTATCACAGCAGAAACCATTCCATCATGACTTTGAAGCTCAAAAGAAATTAGTAATAATATACAAATGCGGCCAGATAYTGCTGTTACAATGGTAAATACACTTTTTACGGAGTCGAGCTTTCGTTGTTCTACAGCATGATCAGGACTGTTGGGGTTTTGGATTTTTCTGAGTCTTGGGAGTTGAGCCAACCAATGACTGAACAAATTTATAAAAAGCTCTACTAGTAGAGCTTTTTATAAACTTGTTCAGCTATGATCGCTATGATCCGGAGGCCGTAAAAGCTTAAATAGCTAATATAAAGTCTAAATCTTCATTCACCCAACATATCATCCCAAATTCTATAATAYACTATGAGATCATCATTATCTTCCCTAACAACTAGTGCAGCACAAGATTTAAAAGTGTGGCTACTGTTAACGAATTCACTGTCCGCTATCAAGTCAATTAGCATCTTGATCCCAGACAGATAACATGATCTTACAAATGTTATTGGATAATGACTGATACAAAAATATGTAAATACATAAGAAGTGGCCATACTTTTAAATATTGACCTATGATATATTAACTCCACAAACCTTTGCTTCTATCATCTTCTCAATTTCAGGGACAAAGTCCTCTGAAAGAGTCTGATAGAGCAGTTTTTCATCGCGGTGTTTTGACTTCTTGAATGATTCTGCTAATTCTTCCCACTCTGATGACGTTGAGCAAACAAGGGACCACTTGGGTGTGTCTGATTGGTTCTCTTCTGGCTCACTGTCTTCTTCGTCTTCTTCGTCTTCGCTTGTATAACTATCACTGCTTGAGCTTGAACAAATAAACRGAAAATGAATAGATTGACAAATGAAGAAATAGACCAATAAATGAWCAAACAATTAAACAAATGAATAAAAGAATGAAAAATACCTAAATTAGTGAACAGATTGAAGATTAAAAAAATATAACATAAATGAAAAAAAGGAAAAAATGAATAAATGAGATATACAAAACAAATGAAAAAATATATATAAAATGAAAAAGTGTATCGAAAGAGCAATTGAACAGGTATTTAACAATGAATAAAAATGAGAGAAGAAATGGATGGATAATCTAGTGACAGTAAATAAAATAAYGATTAAAAAAATGCATTAACAAAGAGGTATGTTATAGTACTACATGCAATATCCAATCTTTATACACAAATAAATAGTACTTATCAATATCATTTAATACAGTGAAGACATTCAAATTATAAAACAAAATCTACCAAGTTATATGTACAAAGCCCATTTCACAAAAAGAAAACAATGGAGAAACATTTAGAATGAAAACTAAGGTGTTAAAGTTTAAAATAAGATCTTTTTCRCAGAACCAACTACAAATAAATAGAACATATTAAAGATTAATCACAAAAAGAAGCAGTTTTAGAGATGTCCAGCAGGTACCTTGTCACAAAGTCAGAATCAGAGTCAGACGAGTTTTTCTTTTTTTGTTTACGTTTTCCTTTTGCTCTTTTCCTTTTYCTTTTCTTCTTTTTTGTAACAAGTTTTTTCTTTCGTTTTAGTTTTCTCTTTTCTCTTTCTTCTGCTGTTTCAACGGGYGYTTCTTTGTATAAACGTGTKCCGTAAAAGTACCAATAAATGTTCCCCTGGGAATCTCTACCAAGAGGCTCTACCCGTAAACTGTCTGCGTCTAAACCTTTCAGTAAGTCTTGGACGTCCGCAACGTCGAGGCGAAAATCACAAAGATTGTGTAGAATTTCAACTTTTTGTTGTATTGTAAGTGAGCTGTGTAAAAAAAAAAATTTTAGTGTTATATTCTAATTGAAAAATTAAGGAACAATAATGTGCCAAGTGACCAACCCCTAAGGAAATAAGGCCCCAACACAAAAGACAACATGTTGTATATGCATAATAATCATCACCATAACTGTTATTATATTAAAATTATCATACGTCTGTTTAAATTATTTATATTTTTATTTCCAAATTAAATAACAATTATACAAACAACTAAATCACATGGTAATACATAAAGACTCTATGTCCTGACTGTGCAAGAAATGAAACAATTACGCATGATTTTCTCAGTTTTAAATTGCACTAAATCAATCATAATCATTATTAATAATAACTCTTTCCTTTCACCTTAAAATTTACAGGCAAATTTTTAAACTTTTTCACAGGTGTTCCACAGGTCCTCTGGCAGGATCCTTGTTTAAACACTTACATTTAATTTAGAAACCATTTTAATGTTGCTAATTTTAGATATGGAACTTGTTAACAGACAAATCGTTTCAAGTGTCAAGTTATTTTCAAATACAATTGTCATTTGCCTTGTCAAATAATGAATTAGAAACAATAAAGAGTATTAATGCAATCACTATTAAACATATTGAGGTTTGAAAGTCATATTACAACCAAATGGAAACAGAGAGTTGACATGTCTACCATGTACTTTACTTTCAACAATGTTTTGCTTGGGTACATTGTCAATTATATGAAAATATGGACAATATTTCAAAAGCCATGGATAACGGATTATATAATTCATAATAATCAAATTCAAGAGTTCAAGACTATTTYTATTAGGATGAAAGATGGCAACATAATTATTAAAATCTTAAAGTACTTTTTGTAAAGCATCACAAATAGGGGAACTTGCATTTTTTCTAAGTATCAATTAATCCAAGTCCTTTATAATTTCACAAGATGGTATATTCAAAGTTGCTTAAAATTTTTGAATAAAGGTCAAGCCAAAGATGTAATCTTTTGGTTCCAATACAGGTATTAACAATAATTTTCATCCATTCTTTTAAACAATGAAACACACTCAACTGTTATAAGAATACAATCATGTTTCTGGTTAAATTTCAACTCGAGTTTTAATATAATAACACTTTACCTGTATGAATTGTCTTTCAATGGGTTTTCTTTACTTAGCTCGTCCTCCCATCTGATTTTTAAAACTTGAGATAAAAATGGTTCAAATGTATCAGCGCTGTGAATAGAGAAACATTTTTAGCACGAAAAGAATAGAACACATGTGTTATTGAAGAAAATAGTGTCCCACAAACAAACAAAAAAACGTGTAAACACATAAAGACCTTGTCATAGCGAAAAGGGCAAAGTTAAAAACATAAAACGTAAGAAAATAAACACCCTCGACTTAGGAAATATTGCAATTAACGTCATTTTCAATATAATTACTAAAACGATCAAGGAAATGGTAAACATTCTTCTAATCAATGACAAATCCAGTAAGATAACATCTCGAAAGTTTATGGCGTTGAATAAAGTAAATAATAGATAGAGTTTTTTAGCGAAATGGTGATCTTATAAGGAGGGAATACAAGGCAAAGATGGACGCATCGCGAGAAAGCGAGCAAAAGTTTGACTTCAATAATTACTTTCGTAAGAAAAGATTTTCACCAAAATAATAAACTATTTCAAGTGAAAAATACTTGAAAAGGAAATAGGCCCATTCATGGATAAACTAGATCAACAAAAAGTCCATATATCAAAAGCATACGATGGACAAAGTTTGTTCGTGGTCGACATTTAGCTCAACTGTCAACAGTTCTTACTAGAAATTTGTCCGAACTCTGTTCATGTTCTCATCTTATTTTAAAGCTTAAATAGTCAATTTGACTTTTTAAAACCTTCTGTACAATATTTTGAGACATGAAAGATAGTATTTACACAATGAACGGATTACAAAGAAAGGGCTCTAACACGAATATTCACGTTCAAAGTTGAAACAGTCAACAATAATGGCAACAACAGAAAAGATGAAACACTGGTCAGCACTCAATCGGGAAGAAATCTCTTCTCGTTAGCATTGCAGGTCAGATAATAAGCTCTGTAAATATATACAAATAGAAGATAGCCTAGATAGGCTATCTTTTTGTCAAAGCAATGAAGAAACTCATGTTACTTACTGAATATCGTTGGTTTCAAACAGACCTCTCAACAACCGCGCATGAAGGTCGCCCAAAAACGTGCTATTTAGTGTTGAACCACCATCAACCGTCCCATCAGACAATAAAGCTTCTTCAAGATCCTGTTAGGTTAGAGAAATAAGCTCTCGTCAATCTAGATAAAGTAGAAAGATTCACCAAAGAAATCGCCCAATGAAATTAACAACTGAAATCTACATGTAACTTACATGACTGAAAATCAACATGAAATTTATTCAAATAAGATCGTTGTAAAAATTTCCTACGTACGCGAGGTTACAAACCACTCCGAATCTCAACTTATTGTTATTCCAGAATTTTTTGACTTCCCCAAAAAACTTCACGACAGCTTTCCAAGGGGAACAAGTTCAAAGATTTTTCGTAAAACTTTCGCTGCCCCTTACCTCGATTTCAAAGTCAGTCAATCCAAAAGCAGTCCTGAATAACGAACAAAAATGTGCGATGCTAGGCACTTCCCACCATGAACGGATATCTAAAGATATAGAGCAGTGAACAGTTTAGAATTTGCCATTATGGTTAGCCTGAAGTAAGTTCCGATTAATCGAAAAAAAGTCGAATAATGAGAAGCTACAAATACCTTCCATGACATGCCATGAAAACAGATGGCTGAGCACACAACGGCTATGGTCCTGGCACTACCCACATACGGGACTTTTAGGGGCTCTTTCAAACGCGCCAAAATTATCTCAATCGGTTTTTTTGGAACCTCTGGTTATCGACCACMCACATCGACCCGACACAGATTGATTTTGTCCAAAAATAATTCATCCCAGTTGGAGAAATGTTATCAACATCTCATAACAATGACCACCTCAAGCACTTAGCGCAAAAAAGAAAAAAAAGAGAGCATATTTTTGACGTGGCACTCCGCGGTGATCGGAGCTCATAGCATCAAGCGATGAAAAGAGAATAGAGAGACGAAAATAAATAAAATACACACGCACAAACTAAAAGAAAGGATTCCTTTTGCGAAAATAAAAAGTGGCAAAATCTCCTAAAATCTGYCAGGGGCTCTTTCATACATTGGAATATATCCCCTAGTATTAATATGGAACTAAAAGCCATATATAACAACCAAAAATCCTATTAACTTCATTAAACATCTAAAACAAAATCATTTTTAATATGAGCAAACTTTGAACGATTCTTGGGGTCTTTTTAGTGGAGAAAAAGTCACTAAATGTCCCTTCCCATAGTATCAATGTACCCTGAGGAAATATTGCTACTGAATAATTAATCGCACAAAAACTGTTCGCACAATTGAGAAAAAACAGGTATATAATATTGGTAGAAGGAATTGCAATATTTAATTTAAAACACAAACAACTTTTTTCATTTTTTTTTTTATTCATTCTTTCAAATTTTACTCGTGAATAATAAACAAGCCCGACCGCAGGCCACTCTGGGAAATAAACATGGCCGCCGCGATCAAAATATTGAGTAGTTGTTGTTGTTTGCGGTTTTTGTAGACAAATACAATGCCTGATCGCTACTACAGAAGACAAGATAAACAGCCAAGAATGTGATTTAATAATGACAAGAATCGTTGATGACGATGAGGCAGAGATCGAGGCAGAAATTCAAAGGCAGTTGGATGAAATTTCGGCGGAAAATCTTGAAATTGAAGATTTGGAAGACACTTTGAGTTCGTTTGAGACAAATAAAAAGGTAATCTTTGCTTAATCTAGTGTAAGAAGATGCAGTTATGTTTTTTTTTATTCAATTTACCATGTAGAATAAATGGTTCCTAGATAATATTTTATAAAAAAACAGGGAAATATTAAGAGTGACTTCTGCAATGTTGCCTAAGCAACGACGCTTACCATGAACGCGTCAGGCCAAAAAAAGGAAATATAAACATTTTAAAAATGAAAGATAAATAACTTTATTTGTGTTTCAGTCTCTACTTTAAACAGGTGTTTTGTATCTACTGGGCTCAGTGTGAAGGGCTCACACGAACACTCTCTCAGTCTCACTGCTAACTAACTTACTCAATATATTTTGACTCGTAAGTTATAAAGCAAGAGGATAAAATTCTTGAAATTCAGAGTGTTTCCCATCTTATTCTTAAGGATGACGGCCTTTTACCGGAATCTATCGAAGAATATCTCAAGTACGTCCAGTCAAGAACAGAGACCATCCAGCAAGAAGTGAGAGAATGTGATGATTTTCTAATCAAGAATTCTTCAGGTTTGTGTGGGAAGTTTTGATAGGGAAAAGCCCCATGTGATCTTGAGAACAAGCCCACATATAAGATTGCGACTGTAAATATACACACTTCGATGGCTGACATTTTAGTTTTTTTGCTCATAACATTAAACTGCACAAGTCTTGCAGCTCACTGAGTTTCAACCGTTTGGGAAGCAAAAACACCGAAAATTGCTTTGGGCATTTGAATGATGGAGTTTTAACAATTATTCAGTCGATTATTCATTTTTTTAACCAAACTTCCAGCTTCCCCACCTCTCGGGTCAATTTTGTAAATCATGGTGTCCCTCTGCCAATTGAGGGACACACCAACTGCCAGTGATTGGCAGGCTGTGACATTTCAGAGGTCATGATTGCAAATCTCATTCAAGTCAAATATTTACAGTAAATCACTCCAGCATGGCTTGTTATGACTGTGTGAATGTCACATCTTGTTGTGATTTTGTGATACTATCTGTTGCATTGCCTCTTGCTTGACCCTCATGTCTTGGTGAGATTGTGTGACTCACATACTTTGACTATAGTGATTGTGTGACTCACATGTTTTGTAGCATTTTTAAGTGATTGCGTGACTCTGATGTCTGGATAGTATTCTAGTGATTGCGTGACTTGCATGTCTTTTATTCTAGTGATTATGTGACTCACATGTTTTGTAGCATTTTTTAGTGATTGCGTGACTCTGATGTCTGGATAGTATTCTAGTGATTGCGTGACTTGCATGTCTTTTATTCTAGTGATTNTACGTCCAGTCAAGAACAGAGACCATCCAGCAAGAAGTGAGAGAATGTGATGATTTTCTAATCAAGAATTCTTCAGGTTTGTGTGGGAAGTTTTGATAGGGAAAAGCCCCATGTGATCTTGAGAACAAGCCCACATATAAGATTGCGACTGTAAATATACACACTTCGATGGCTGACATTTTAGTTTTTTTGCTCATAACATTAAACTGCACAAGTCTTGCAGCTCACTGAGTTTCAACCGTTTGGGAAGCAAAAACACCGAAAATTGCTTTGGGCATTTGAATGATGGAGTTTTAACAATTATTCAGTCGATTATTCATTTTTTTAACCAAACTTCCAGCTTCCCCACCTCTCGGGTCAATTTTGTAAATCATGGTGTCCCTCTGCCAATTGAGGGACACACCAACTGCCAGTGATTGGCAGGCTGTGACATTTCAGAGGTCATGATTGCAAATCTCATTCAAGTCAAATATTTACAGTAAATCACTCCAGCATGGCTTGTTATGACTGTGTGAATGTCACATCTTGTTGTGATTTTGTGATACTATCTGTTGCATTGCCTCTTGCTTGACCCTCATGTCTTGGTGAGATTGTGTGACTCACATACTTTGACTATAGTGATTGTGTGACTCACATGTTTTGTAGCATTTTTAAGTGATTGCGTGACTCTGATGTCTGGATAGTATTCTAGTGATTGCGTGACTTGCATGTCTTTTATTCTACTGATTGTGTGACTCATATCTCTTTCTTTAATATAGACAACCATAGTGATGAAATTCTGGCTAATAGAATTAAGGAAGCTCTTGGGGATGATTGCCATGACAACCCATTGGAAATCAGAAACAAGGTACACTATACATGCATGTTAGTAATCAGCATCATCATTATTATCATTAAAATGGTCATGATGGTAATCTCAGGTCCTGTCAGAAATTGAAGAAGTAGAAAAACAAGAGGAAAAAGAAAGGAGCCGTAGAGCATCAAATTCCAGCAACATGACTCTTGACATCATCAGGCCAGGTGTGTTCATTCATTTGTTCATCCATTTGTTCATTAATTCATTTGTTCATCCATCCATTTGTTCATTAATTCATTTGTTCAGTTCATTAATTCATTTGTTCATTAATTCATTTGTTCATCCATCCATTTCATTAATTCATTTGTCCATCCATTCATTTGTTCATCCATTCATCCATCTTTTCATCCAATCATTCATTTCTTTTCATTTTGTTGTTGTAGTTATTTCAGATGAGGTAAGATTGTTAGAAGAAACAGCAGAAAAACAGCTCCAAGAACTTGAAGCGAAACAGTCCAGAAAACATCAAGAAAGGATTTTAAAGTACGAGAAAATGAAACAGGAAGAAAATAAAAGGTTGGAAAGAGAACAAAATGCGAGGGAAATGAGACAAAGAGAACTGGAAGAAGCTCAAAATCGTTTGAATGAAACTCAAAAGGTACAGTTCTGTAAAGCTTGACCAACTTGTCCAACAAGACATAATCATACCTTAACCTTTTAAATGATTCTACGTCTAGAAAACTTGCACTTGTCACATGATCTAGTCTCAAATTCAAATCATTGTCATAGGGAATACACTTTAATTAAGTCTTGCACAACAAGTCTTACATGTCCTTGATAATGAAGAATCTACATGCAGACAGACATACAGTTTTATTATGTTTTATACTTTGTTGGAAACTAGACAATTATTTATGTTGACAATAAATGGATAAACAACCTCCTCTAGCTCCTAGCTACAAAGTACCCACGTAGCATCTAAGCCAGAATATATTGTACCAATGAGAAATTGTACCAGAAATGATATAAGGACTTATGGTAATCTATTATGGTTTATAGATACAACAGGAAAAACTAGAAAAAGATATGATTCAAGAACAGAAAGAACTCAGTCATTTAGAAGAGATATTTCAGGTTTGTACCTTAATTTGATTTCTTTGTTGTTTGGTCATCTAGGTTAATTCCATCCATCCATTGTCTCATCCATTTAGCCATTTATTTATTTATTCATGCATTCATTTTATTATTTAATTTGTATTGCTTTACTATAGAAAGAGATAAAAGAATTGGAAGAAGAAAAGGAAAAAGAACAGAAAGCATTAGAGCAAACAAGAGTAAGTTTGAATCRCTTTGAATATGTTATGAAATAAAGATGCCTTTTGTCAATGCAATATGGTTTAAACAGTCTGAAACTCTTTCCATTGAATAAATAAAGTTACAAGAAGAAAACAACCAAAGAACGAAGAAACACAAGGCAGCTATAGTCATACAGAAGTCTTACAGAGGACATAGGTATGGCCAGTGATAATAATAATGATAATTAGCAATTATAATAATAATATGATAATAATAATCATTATCATCATCTGTAAAACTAACTTATATAAAATAATACTAATATTATAATAATGTTATGATAGTAATTTTAAGATTAAGCTTATTTATAATATAATTATATTAAATTAATGTTGATTAACTATTTTGTATACAAACAGAGTATTTGTGCAATACAGAGAAGTCCTTCAAGAGAAGAAAACAGAAAGACTCAGAAAACATGAAGAAGAGTTAGAAAAGAAATACCAAGAAGAAATAACAAGAAAAGAAGCAGAAAGACAATCTCAAGAACTCCAGAAAAAGATGAGAATTGAGGAAGAACGCTTGAGAAAAGAAGAAATATGGAAAAAAGAAATGGAAGAAAAGAAAAGAAGGGAAGAAGAAAAGAAGAGAAAAGAGGAGGAAGAGAGAAAAAGAAGGGAAGAAGAAGAAAGGAAGCGAAAAGAGGAGGAAGAGATGAAAAGAAGGGAAGAGGAAAAGAAAAGAAAAGAAGAAGAAAGAAGAAGAAGAGAAGAAGAAGAAAAGCAAGAGTTAGAAAGAAAGAAAAGGGAAAATGAAGAACAAAAACGGAGAGAAGAAGAAATAAGATGTCAAGAAGAGATGAAAAAGGAAGAAGATAGAATGAGACAGGAAGAACTTAACAAACAGAAGGAGCAAGAGAAGAAATATAAAGAAGAAAAGAGAATAAAAGAACTTGAAAAGGAAGAAAKAAGAAAAAAAGAAACTGAAAGAAAGCAACAGGAAGAATTGCAAAAAATTGAAGAAGAGAAAAAAGCAGCTTTGGAAAGGGAAGAAATGAAGAAAATTGAGCTTAAGAAAAAAGAACAAGGAAAGGAAAAACAAAAAATAGAGGAATACCAACACAAAAAAAGTAACAAACCATTGAAAGATGAACTGCTAGTTAATAGAAATGCAGTGACTAGTTCAGCAGACCTTTTCAACATGGAAGAACTCCGGAGAAAGTGGTTAAATGGCCATACACTTTGGAGGTATTGAAAACTCATTCTCTCTTAGACATAAACAACTACTAGTAACTACAGCTGTAAGTTTAATATGTGATTGGTGTTGGTGATGATGCAGTTTGGTTATGGTCGCCAGTTAGTGTCTTGAGTGGTTAGGGTCTGGYTAGGCTATCGTACAATGTACTGTATATTTGTCTCAGAGATTTTGTGAATGGTGAGTGTTGATGATGGATTGTTTAATGGAGATTTATTAAGGTCTGTTTTTAATTATAGCATCCAAACTGCATGTGAAGATAGGGAACAACCTGTCGCAAAGTCAAGAACAAGGCACAGACCAAGGTACACAAAGTCATATGATAANTTAAAAGTAAATGTTTAAGCTCTTCAAACATAACAAATCCACTATTTGGTTCACAGCAACATCTTTACATTTTGTTACTCCTTTCAGGAGACCATTTTCAGCAAGCAAAAGCCTTCCACAGTTAACAAAAGAGCAGATTTTACAAGCTTCGCCTCCTGGGACACCATTGCACAAAGTAATAACAACATACCACAAGCCATTTTATCAAAAATTGTAATCTTCCCCAATCATCACCATTCTAGTATTAGCAATTATGACTAGCAACCTCAAATAGTGATAAAAAATGTTGTTTGTATCCCCACCTGTAGGTTATCAGAGTTTTGTTGAGTTCTTGTCCTGCCTGTAAGTTACATGGGCTTGATTCCTGTCCAAATCTAAAGGCTCTGGACATGAAAGATTGTGGGCTGTTAGCTGTTGAAGGACTTGATGAGTGCAAAGAGCTGAAAGAACTTACACTTCAGGTGTGCATGTTTAGTATTTCTCTAGTATTTTTTTCGCTTTATTTACAGCTAGTAGTTGTATTTTGGTATTAATGTTTAAACTTCATTGTTGATTAAAAAGAAAATGAAAAGTTGTTTCTGATATTTGAAAGATTAGTGAGAGTTTGTTTTCTTGTGTTTTTTATATATTTTATATATATATATATTTAGGACAACAAGATTGAGCACATCAGTRTCAAAGGTTTACATCAACTCGAGGAAATGATTCTACGAAATAATAACCTTGCGTCTGTYCAAGGCCTTACTGATTGTCCTCAGCTGARAAACTTGGATTTGAGAAACAACAGAGTAACAAGAATAGGTAAGTTAAACATGAAGTCTGAATCTTATACAACACTTAGAATAAAAGTTGATTTGAATTGCTGCACAATATCAGACTTTTGCCTCAGTAGTCAAACACAAAAAATCAAGACAAGGCGCCATACACATAAAGCTCAGTTATTTGTAAAAGACAATAGTTTTTTTCACAATTGACAGAGCTTTATGCACAGCGCCTCATCTTGAATCTTTTGTGTTTGACTACTGACGCAAAATTCGCAAAATCACGGCTATTCTAGTTTGTGATATTAAACCCCCAAATTGTCTTGTGCTTTTTCTAGGTGATTTGTCTACTTGCTCAAATCTTCAAATTCTTAACCTGAACAACAACCAACTCATCACTACTAAGGTACATGAAGGCTTGTTTTGAAATTCATAAAAGGCACAGGCATCCCAACAATAGTTATTGATTTGAGTKGAACGTTTTCACCAGTTATCTATACCATAACTTACTTATTCAGTAATGACTTGTAGTGCTTATTACTCTTGGAAATTGGAAATATATGATTTATAGCAACTCTCGAAGTAAGGTGACAGTTTTTTTCTGCAGGGATTGTCAAATCTCATCAAGTTGCAATCCTTTAAATGTACAAATAATCACCTCCCAGATGTGAAGGAGATTGACAGCTGTCAATTACTACAGACACTGAATTTAACTGGAAACAACTTACAGAAGGTATGCCTTTGGATACCACTAACATAGTCATTAACTTTCACTGAGCTTTTTCTCTTTATTTATCCATTCATTTTCCCATCCATTTTTCCTTCCTTCATTCATTCATTCTTCCATCCCATTTATTCATTTATTTGTTACATCATCTTTTTTGTTGCYTCACGTATCTATTGTGATCTTTTACTCACCTCTTCATGTTCTCCTCACACAGCCTCCATCACTTACAAATCATGTCTTGTTGAGAGAGTTGATACTTGACGATAACAGTATATCCACCCTTGAGCCTCTATCTGATGCCTGGCTGCCGTCATTAAGAGTGTTGTCTGTCTGTCAGAACAGGTACCAATTAAAAGACTTGCAGTGTATCCACTCTCTTCGCATCTCCGTTTTGTCTTAACCAATTGCTATCTTTTTCAGTATATCAGACGTTGCAAATCTTAAAGGCTGTATTATGCTCCAGTCTTTGGACATTCGATATAACCTTATATCTGGTGAGTTAATAATAATTAATAATTAATAATAATAATTAATAATAATTAATAATAATTAATAATAATAATTAATAATTAATAATAAGAATTAATAATAAGAATTAATAATTAATAATAAGAATTAATAATAAGAATTAATAATTAATAATAAGAATTAATAATTAATAATAAGAATTAATAATTAATAATAAGAA